AACCCCTGTAGAGCTGATGGGCTCTTTGGTTCTGGATCTGTGAATAGGTAGCCCAGGTTGGCCAGGTTCCATCTACCCAGCCTCTACCACCACCACTACTGGCCTGGAAAGGGGCCTGCCAGACCTCTGCACATAGCCGTACCCACAAACATGCACGACCCACCTGACTCTCCAATAGGTTTTTCAGGGTCCTCCTGCTACCCTCATTTGAACCCCAAATTACTTGGTCTGGCTGGGTGGAGATTGCAGTACACACCTGTAATCACAGCACAGGGAATGCCAAGGTGGGAGCATAGTGAGTTCAAGGCCAGCCTGGACTGCATAGGAAGACCCTGTCTCAGAGGAACCAACCACAGCAATACTATCCAGCTAAGACCGCAGGCCCCAGAGCAGCACATGAATACAGCCATCCCAGGTCTATGTGATTGGTTGCATTCCTCATCTCAGCAGACCCTCGTGGCCTCTGTTCCCTGGAGGGTGAGTGATCGCAGAGTGATCGCTAAGGGCCGTTGAGGCTGGAGGCTCAGGCAGCTACCATCAGAGACCAGCCCTGTACAAACCTTGTTCATATGAAAACTGCCCACTTCCCTTTGCGCTATTTCGGCCCACAGAGCCACAGGCCTGTGGCAGTCCCCCACACACCCACAGCCAGCCCTGCCTGGCCCCTTGGGGCCTTCTGCGACTGCTGGGTTGCCCCTCCTACAGACCCAGCCTCTGTTCCCTCCACCCTCAGCCCACAGGCTGTCGTTCCTGGTAGAGAGCATGAGCACATGGGATAGAGGGAATTCATTGAGCCTACTCTGGATTTCCATCACTGTGTCTCACTTACTGTGTTTCCTTGTGGCACAGTATGCACCTCTCTGAACCTTCCCTTTGCTCCCTGGGAAGAAAACAGTTGGGCTCAGAGGAATTCCCAACTGAGAAGCAAGTTCCAGACCCTGTCCAGGAAGTGTCCCATGCACTCACACCTGCTCTCTTTTTGTTTTGTTTTTCAATATTTTAATACATTTTAGAATATTGGATGGATGGATGTGTGTGTGTGCTACAGTGTAGGTCAGAGAACAATTTGCAGGAGTGAGTTCTCATAACCTTGTGGGTCCTGGGGATTGAACTCAGATCATCAGACTTGGAGGCAAGCACCTTTTTGCCCACAAGCTATCTCACCAGCCCCCATTCAATCTTTTTATTATCATGTATCAATTATGCATAATAATAATAGGCTTATGACATTTCTGTACATGTATATGATGCATCTTGACCATATTCACCTCCAATTACCTCTCTTGTCCGCCCCCATTCCAATTGATCCTTGCCCTCTTCCCAACTAATCCCTTTCTGATGTCATGTTCTTTTTCCAGAGGGGGTGGGGTCTGGTAGTGGCCCAATGATTTCATTAGGTTTGCTCTCAGGATGGGAGGGGTTATCTACAGGAGCATGGGCACCTTACCGTGGAGCAAGATCTCTCCTCCAGTAATCTTTTTTGTTAAATTTAAAACGTTTGTGTAGCCGGGCAGTGGTGGCGCACACCTTTAATCCCAGCACTCGGGGCAGAGGCAGGCAGATCTCTGTGAGTTCCAGGCCAGCCTGGTCTACACAGTGAGTTTCAGACCAGCCAGGGCTATACACAGTGACTCTGTGTCTCAAAAACAAGATGTATGTGTGTGAGTGTTTTGCTTGCATGTACATGTGTGCACCACATTCATGCCTGGTGCCCACAAAAACGGAGAGGGTTGGATCCCCCTGGAACTGGAGTTAGAGATGGTTGCGAGCTGCCACGTGGATGCTGAGAATCGAACCCAGGTCCTCTGGGAGAGCAGTATGCTCTAAACCTCTGAGCCATCTCTTTAAATCCACCGCCCTCAATCTGTTTTGTTTTCGTTTTCCCCAGTGCTGGGAACACAACGCAAATCCTTTCCCATGCTAGTTAAACATGGGCATATCCCTCACTGGGTGGTTCTAGGCAGGTACTCTACCGTTGAGCCATGCCCTCAACCTCACACTGGTAAATTCTAGGCAGTTGATCTACCACTAAGCCATCCTCTAGGCCATCACTGGGACAGTCTAAGCAAATGTCCTACCGTGCCCCCAAGTCCTCTTTATGTTTTGAGACATGGGTTTGAGACAGGGTCTCACTGGACTTGAACTTGCAATATAGCCCAAGTTGGAATTTACAATACCCCTGCCTCAGCCTCCTGAGCAGCTAGGATCGCTAGCCTGCTCCACTAGGCCTGGCATATCTACTTCATCATTAGGCCCTCACAGCTCTCTTCATAAGGTTTCGCCCCTCAGACCCCCTGGGGTCAGTGGAAGGAGTCCAGGCCTGTGCCTCTAGACGTCACCAGGCAGGATAATACAGCCCCTCAGTTTTTGCTGCATGCCACTCTCAGTCCCTTCCCATGTCACGTGGCTAAGAACTGTGGCTATAACAGACGTCATGGTGGAAACAACCCACATGGCTGACCCCACTCTCTAGTCATCATCTCCATGACAGGCCTCATGTGACTAACTCAGGGGACACGTTATTTTCCCCATGTTGGTCGGTACAGATGACCCGACCAACGCTATCCCAGGGCTGAGGGCTTCTGGAGCCCTGTTCATCCCTGGATAACAAGTCTAGAAGCAAGTGGGCTGTCTGGTAGTCAAGACCTCTTGGATGGAGGATGGTCCCCATGCCAAAGGCATGGGGTGCCCTTGAAGAGGAAACAGAAGTCAGCAGGCCAGCTCCTGGGACCTTGAATGCCAAGCCAAAAATGTGGGCTTGCTCTTGGGGTCACAAGTGGACTGAGATGGGCAAGGGCTGAGTTATATGTAGCCTGCTTGAGTGCTATGTCCAAGTCTCCTCTTTTTTTTTTTTTCCTTGAGACAGAGTGTCTTGTAACCCAACCTATGTAGCCAAGGGTGACCTTGAACTTCTGATCTTCTGCCTATGCCTCCCAAGTGCTGGGTTACAGGCATATAGGAGTAAGACACCATGATCTGGTTCTCCTCTCTTCCCCCACCCGCCCTCTATTCTCGCATATTTCTCCCTCTACCTCCTCTGTCTCCCCTACCCCGTGTGTGTGTGTGTGTGTGTGTGTGTGTGTGTGTGTGTGTGTGTGTGTGTGTGTGTACACGTACCGCTCTTCTTTTAAAAAAAAAAAATAGAGAGAGATAGGGTTGTGCTTTGTACCCAGAACTAGCCTTGATCTCCCAGTCCTCCTGGCCCTCTTTCTTCCTTTTTTAAAGACTTATTTATTTATTTTATGTATATGGTGCTCTATCTGCATGCACTCCTTTATGCCAGAAGAGGCATCAGATCCCACTAGAGATGGTTTGTGAGCTACCATGTGGGTGCTGGGAATTGGACCCGGGACCTTTTTTTTTTTTTTTTAAAGATTTATTTATTTATTATGTATACAATGTTCTGCCTGCGTGTACGCCTGCAGGCCAGAAGAGGGCACCAGATCTCATTACAGATGGTTGTGAGCCACCATGTGGTTGCTGGGAATTGAACTCAGGACCTCTGGAAGAAGGGCCAGTGCTCTTAACCGCTGAGCCATCTCTCTAGCCCTGGACCCGGGACCTTTGAAAGAGCAGCCAGTGCTCTTAACCGCTGAGACATTTCTCTAGCCCTCCTGGCTATTTCTTAAAGTGCTAGAGTTACGGGCATGCGCCATATGCTCAGTGTATGAGTCTCTATGGTAGAGAAAGGCCACACCCCAGCCCTTCACCAGGGGATCCTCGGAAGGGGCTCTACAGCTGGAGGTGGGCCCGAGTGCAGACAGAGTGGCCACGCAGTCATTGTCACTCTGCATGTGGCTTACAGAAGACTGGCTCCTCACCTGTGTCCCTTGCTCATGCCGGGGAGCTGAGCCTCCTCCGTGGAGTTGTTGGTTTCATAGCCCATTAGAGAGGGCTGTTCTCCACACATTCACCAGACCGTGCGGGGCTTCACCAAGGCTGGGACAACCACGACTTCGCATGGCCCTGGGCTAACTGGGGGTTGGCAGCCTGCTCACCCCGGCCAACCCTCTCCACAGCCCCACCTCCTTCCTCCTTTGTCTCCCAGAGGACCAGCCTCACTCTGCAGGTCCTCAAGCCCTATCTCTCAGGGGGACCCATCCCTGAACTATACTGTCTCAGGGTTACCTCCTCTGAGAGGCATCCTTCAGCTACCACTTATAGGCAGGACCTGGGTTTGTTTGTTTATTTGTTTGTTTGTTTGAAGATAGGGTTTATCTGTGCAGATGTCCTGGAACTCTCCCTGTAGACCAGACTGGCCTCAAACTCAGAGATCGGCCTGCCTCTGCCTCCCAGGTGCTGGGATTAAAGGCTTACAAGCACTCTTAACTGCTAAACCATCTCTCCAGCCCCTCCACCTTATTTATTTATTTATTTATTTATTTTCTGGAGCTGAGGACCGAACCCAGGGCCTTGTGCTTGCTAGGCAAGCGCTCTACCACTGAGCTAAATCCCCAACCCCCGCTCCACCTTATTTTTGTTTTGTTTCTGACACAGGGTCTTAGTCTTTGACCCAGGCTAGCTTGAGACCCACTATGTTGTCTCAGGCTGGCCTGAAACTAGTGGCAATCCTCCTGCCTCAGCCTCCAGAGTTGCTGGGATTACAGGTGTGCACCCCTATCCTAGGTCTGGCCTGAGCCTTATGTTTGAGCCCTCCCTTTCCACATAGCTGTGGGGAGCTTCCCAGTCTCAGCTTCTCCACCTGTGAATTAGGGAGCCTGTCTCTCAGGGCCAGGCGGCTTGGGAATGAGAGCTTAGGGTTGGCCACAATTTCTTAGTGCTGCCCAGTGATCTCAGAACCTTCCAGCACATGTGGTCTGGTAGTCAGTGTGCTGGTTAGGGTCACATGGGAGATACAGTTGGTTCAATCCAGGGGTAGGGAAAGCTATTCCATGGATGTTGCTGGAGCCAAGAACCAGAGAGATCAGAAATTGAGCACATGGGGTAGGTAGGGCAGCAGCTGGGAGTCACTGGCTCACAGATCTCCAATGCAGCTTTGCAGCCCCCTCCCCAAGCCAACATGAGTGCCGACCTGGAGCTGGTGTGGCCTTTGTCAATACCGCTGCTGCTGCTGTTGGGGGCCACAGCCTGGCTGTGTGTCCGCTGTTCCCGCCCAGGTACGTGTCACCCGGGCAGGGAGTGATGGGAGGACCGTGGAGACTATGTCCCAGGGGCCTCTGGGGCTGGACCTGGTTGTGATGGGAGGGGCAGGAGGCTGAGCACCCAGGAACCAGCCGGTGGCCCCTATCCGGCCTCTCCATACACTGGCTGTGGGTGAAGGCTGGTTCTGCTGGACCATGGCGGTCACTCAGGCCAGGAAACTGCTCTGGAGAGGAGAAGGGAGGCTGGCTACCTGTGGCACCCTCTATTCTAAGCTATCCTCACCCCACAAAAAGAGATTAAGTACCTGTCCTTCTGTCCCTCTTCCTTTCCTCCCCCAACCCGCTCCAGCCTTCTCCCTCCCTCCTTCCCTTTCCCCTTCCTCTCCCTCCTTTCTTCCTTCCTTTCTTTCAATTCCTTCCTCTTAATTCTTTCTCTTTTCACACTTTAGCTCAGGCTAGCCTCAAATGTTCCTGCTCTCCTGCCTCAGCTTCCTGAGTGTTGGGATGGCAGGCCTGTGTCCCTACACCCAGCTGATCCGAACCATCTCAATAACATGCAGCCACAAGGGACTTGCCAAGGGCCTGGTGGAGTTGCAAAGCGGGAGGGGGGTCGGGGGTCCCAGACTTCAGCTTTCCCCCACCACACACCCGAGTTCAGGGACACTTGCTATGCCATTTCTGTTCTTGCAGGGGTGAAGAGAAATGAGAAAATCTTCGAGCAGAGGAACCAGTGAGTTGCCCCAGCTTGGCGTGTTTGGGCATCCTCTCAGGAACCCGGTCCCTGCCCTCTCTCGTGCCTGCTCCATGGCAGTCTCTAGTGGGTGCCTAGCATTCGGTGGACGGAAAGAGAGTCCGGGGGCTATCGGAGAGAATGTGCCATCACATGGCAGTGGTAGTGGGGGGCAGAAGCCTGAGCCCCAGGCAGAATAGGAGCAGAATCTCAAAACCACTTAAGAGAGGCTGTCATCCCAGATATTCCAGAGCCTGCCTGGGCCACAGAGGGAGTTCAAGACAGCCTGGCAATGCAGTGAGACCTTGTCTCCAAATTTATAAGTAGGGGGTTGCAAAATGACTCAGCAAGTCAAAGTGGCTGGCACAAAAGCCTGGGGACCTGAGTTTAATCCCTGGAACCCATGGTGGAAGAGATTGAGAATTCCCGAAAATTGTCCTTGGGCATCCATCTGCTTACCGCACCACAAAACACACACACAGACACACACAAATAATAATAATAATAAATACAAATAAACTTTTAAAACTGAAAAGCAGGGCTGGAGAGATGGTCCAGTGGTTAAGAGCACTGGCTGTTCTTCCAGAGGATCTGGATTTGATCCTCAACACCCACATAATGGCTCACAGTCTCTAACTCAAGTTCCAGGAGATCCAGTGCCCTCTTCTGACCTCCTTAGGCACCAGGCTTATATGTGGTAGACAGACTTACACATGGGCAAAATACCCCATACACATTAAAAAAAAAAATAATTTTAAAGTGGGAGGAGGAGATCGTGACTCAGCTGTAGAGCACCTGCCCAGAATCCCCCAGTGAGGGGCTGGGGTGTGGCTCAGTGGTAGAGCACCTGCCTAGAATCCCCCAGTGAGGGGCTGGGGTGTGGCTCAGTGGTAGAGCCCCTGCCTAGAATCCCCCAGTGAGGGGCTGGGGTGTGGCTCAGTGGTATAGGTCCTGAGTTCAATGCCCGACATAAAAAGAAAGGCAAGGGGCAGGCATGATGGTATATTCCTTTAATCCCAGCACTCAGGAGGCAGAGGCAGGTGGATCTCTGTGTCCTAAACTCTAACCTGGTCTACAGAGTGAGTTCCAGGCCAGTCAGACCTACAGAGTAAGACTGTATTGAAAAAAAGAAAGAAAGAGAGGGGGAGGGAACCAGCTGATCACACTCTACCCCTCTCTGCTACCCGCACACACACTTCCTACACTCACAGTACAGCCTTCACGTGCGCACCCCAATAGGCTGTGTCACACACACACACACGCACACGCACACACACACACACACACACACACACACACGCACTTCCTCATTTCCTTTTGCAACTGAAAAACCACAGAGATTTAAAAACAAAGTCTTCCATCTCTGACCACTGCGGGCCATGGTAAAGCTTGCCTGTTTGTTTTTTTTTTTTTTTTTTTTTTTGTTTTTGAAACAGGGTCTTCCTGTTCTGTAGCACTGGCTAGCACAGAACTTAACTTTGTATAGCCCCGGCTGGCCTCAAACTCACATCCAGGCATGTGCAGTCACACTCCCAGGCTCGGCTCCGCTCTCTTCTCTGTGTTCTTTGTCCTTGTCTGTCCCTCTGTCCCTCTCTACACTCCTTGCCTGGGGAATGCCAAGGCCCGGCTCAGCACACCCTTGTGTATTCACAGGCAAGAAAACGAACAGAACTTTCCTGTGGCTCAGACCTACTCCCGTGAGTCCCTGATGCTTCCTGGGTTTGGTTCTGGGCTGAGACTCCCCCTATCAAGGTCCTTTCTGTGTCCCTTGCCCTGAGGCCGGCCTGGTGTAGTGGGTGAAGGCTCAGCTGGGTGAGTGCCCTATCAATACCCTGTCCCTGCTTCCCTCCGCAAGTGGCCAGGCCGGTGTGGCCAGGACCCCTGATGGACACAGCCTCAGACAAGTCATCTGAAAGGTAGGTAGGCATTCTGTCGTGCGTGGTCCTCCCCGGGCCCAGACCTGGAGGACCCCACCCGCCACAGCCAAGCCCAGACCTCACTCTGTCCCCATGCTGCAGAGCCTCAGTCCTGGCCCCGTGAGGGGACTGTCCCCTCCCCAGAGCACCACCTCAGCCCCCCTTCCCCCATCCTTACAGAAAGAATAAACTGCTGTTCTCTGACCTCGAAGGTGAGTGACCCCAGGCAGGGAGGAGCCTGAGGTGGGGATGGCGCAGTGAGTGGGGAGGCCTTTAGGGAGGGCTGAGCCTGGGGTTGATGCAATCGGCATGAATAAGGCACAGACTTGTGACCATCCAAAGCCGCTGGCTTGGGCTGCAGAGCCTGGGTTGGGCTGGGGTAGGGCCTGGAGGGAAGACAGCTTAGCCTTTCTTCCAGGTCCTGAGTCCCTTAGGTACCAGAACTTCTACAGAGGTGGGTAGCTCTGGGGGCAGGGAATGGGTCCCAGCCCGAGAGCTTGGCCTGTCTTAACTCTCCTATCTGGCCTCTTCCAGGAAGCAGACACGAGCCTGACGCTGCCTATGTGTAAGTGGCCCTCGCCCTCGCCCGCCCTCTGCCCACCGCCGTGTTCCTGGGTCGCTCATCTCAGGCTTCTTTATCTATGAGTCATTCAGTGGAGACACATCTCGGGGTAGCCTTTTCCATCTGGTGACCGTGGCTTTGTGGGGCCTTGGCACGTGGCTCTGTTCTAAGGAGGAGCATCTGGTGGGGGGTGGGCACGCATCCTGCCATCCGGTGAAAGGCGACATGGTGGCCCAGGTCTGTCATTTCAGCACTCAAGAGGAGGGAGGCTGAAGCAGGGGGATCAAAGCCAGTGTGGGCCACATCGAGTTGTGGTTCCCTCCCTCCAAAAAAGGGCTGGGGTGCAGCTGGTGGATTGCCTGACCTGGGTTCCATTGCCAGCACCGCATAAACCTGGTGTGGTGGCTCATGCCCATCAGCCGGGCACTGGGGAAGGAGGTCATCCTGGTCCAGTGAGTTTGAGGTCAGTGGGGGGGTGGGGGGGGGCGGAGAAGGACAGCCAACTAGCTCAGCCACCACACCCCATGGTGGAAGGAGAGGACTGAGTCTAAATAAGTAAATATAAATGTAAAAAGAGAAGGAAGGACAGTGACAGATGATCGATAGGAAGGAAGTGATGGATAGATAGATAGATAGATAGATAGATAGATAGATAGATACCAAGGGCGGGGCATGGTGGTACAGGTCTATCCTCCCCACCATTCCAGTACCTGGGAGGCTGAGGCAGAAGGATCTGATTCAAGGCCACCCCGCAAAAAGAAATGACCCCCACCAGGGTCTCTTCATGTCACAGGTGGGGAGGACTGTGGCCCAGATGAGGACTTGTTGAAGGTCTCCCAGCCAGGCTGACAGCCCTTTTGCCCTAGAGTAGTCAGGGGCTCTGGGAAACGTGAATGGAGGAGAAACCCCCTCCTGATGGCCCCTCCTGACAGGCCTGCTCAGCAACCTGCACTCTGTTCTCTTGTCCAGAGATCCCATCCCTACGGACTACTACAACTGGGGACGTTTCCAGAAGTCCCCAGAAGGTAAGGTTGGAGGCTGGGGTGGGGAGGATGTGGAAGAGGGGGCAGCCCCTAGGTCAGGCTGGGTCTGCAGAGGCGTCGAGAGGTAGAGAGACACGCTGCAGGGCAAGGTGGGTGGGGCGGAAGGAAGCTGGTCAGCTGCACGCGGAGGATGGGGACAGAGCGGAGTGAGCAAGGGACAGGACAGGAAACAGGGGCGGGGCTGTGGGTAGGAACATCTGAGACCAGCTCACTTGTCATCTGGGGCTGGGCACACACAGATAGGCACCGATGACAGATAAGCCCCAGGCAAGCTTGGAGGGCGCTGGAGCCTTTGGTCGTGACCACTTCTGCTTTACAGAGAGGGAGAGCAAGGGGGAGGGGCAGAGGCTATGGAGAAGGGTCCTCACCTGGCGCTGGAGTGGGTCATGGCAGCCTGTCAAGGAGTGCTCAGCTGGACAGTGGTGGCACATGCCTTTAATCCTTAATCCCAGCATTCGGGAGGCAGAGCCAGGTGGATCTCTGTGAGTTCGAGGCCAGCCTGGGCTACAGAGCGAGCTCCAGGACAGGCACCAAAGCTACACAGAGAAACCCTGTCTTGAAAAACAAAAACAAAAACAAACCAAAATATTTGTTTATTGTGTGGGTGTGGGGACACACATGTGACAGTCTTAGGACAACTTGTAAGAGTAAGTGCTCTCTTTTAACCATGTGGGTCCTGGGGATGGAACTCAGCAAAAGCGCCTTTACTTGATCTTTATCCTTATTTTGTTTTTTAATAATTTATTTATAAATAACTTATTTATGTGCATTGGTGTTTTTGTCTGTGTTTATGTCTGTGTGAGAGTCCCCTGGAAGTGGAGTTACAGACAGCTGTGAGCTGCCGTATGGGTGCTGGGAATTGAACCTGGGTCTTTTTTTTTTTTTTTTTTTTTTTTTTTGGTTTTTCGAGACAGGGTTTCTCTGTATAGCTTTGCGCCTCTCCTGGAACTCACTTGGTAGCCCAGGCTGGCCTCGAACTCACAGAGATCCGCCTGGCTCTGCCTCCCGAGTGCTGGGATTAAAGGCGTGCGCCACCACCGCCCAGCTGAACCTGGGTCTTTTGGAAGAGCAGTCAGTGCTCTAAACCACTAAGCCATCTCTCTAGCCCATCTCTCTTTATCCTTATTTTGTAAGAAAGGCCCCCTGCCAGGCGTGATAGCACACGCCTTTAATCCCAGCACTCAGATCTTCGTGAGTTCGAGGCCAGCGTGGTCTACACAGCAAGTTCCAGGACAAACAGGGTTGCACGGGGAGACACTGTTTCAAATGAAACAAACAACACAAGACCACCACCAACAAACAAGATCGTTCCCCACACTTGCATCACACAGCATACACACAAAACAAAACAAAACAAAGGCAACAAAAATGCTGGTCTGAGAGAATGCAGAAGCCCCTGAAGTCCGGGAAGAGCTCAGGGGGCCTGCAGGGGTAGCGGAAGGGGAAAGGGGCATGGGGCTTGCAGGCAGGGTTGGTCCCCAGCAGGTGCCCTGCCAGCTCCCTTCTGTTGACAGACGATGATTCCAACTCCTACGAGAACGTGCTCATCTGCAAGCCCAGCACACCTGACTCAGGTAAGGCTGTCTCTCCCGAGAAAGGCAGAGCAGGGGCCAGCACCCTGAGCTAGCCCACCCTCGCGAATAAGAAGTGAGTTCCCAAGACTCAGCCCTGGCCTGCATTCTCCGTGTCTCTGGTGCCTTTGGGTCAAATTCACCTAAGGGAAGAGCCATCCAAGGGATTATCCTCCCTCATGGGGTCACCCTCAGTGGAAGAAGGCTGGCCCTTGGCTCCCTGGATCTACTCAGAGTGTCCCTATATCCTCCCTTAGGTGGCGAGGAATCTGAGGATTACCAGAACTCAATATCTATCCGAGAATGGCGAGAATCCAGGAGGACTGTGGGTATGTCCTCCATGGGCAGAGGCTGCCAGGAGTAGTGGGGTGGGGTGGGGTGGGGTGGTAATGGGGTGGGGTGGGGGGGGTGGTAGGGTGGGGTGGGGGTGGTGGTAGTGGTGGTGGTAGTGGTGGTATAACTCAAGCAGGCAGTGGGCTGATCCAGGAGGGTCGGCCTGGGTGGGTTCCCCTCCAGCCAATCTGGCTGACTTCACAGTGGAGCCTCCTCCGTGGTTCCCAAGGCTGCAGAAGCCTTGCACTCCACCAGAACTCCCCTTGGTAGCAACTCGTCCTCCAGAGCTGGTCACCCAGTCTTGGAGCAGGAGGATTTCTGAAAAAACAGGAGTGACAGGCAGATACCACGAGTCCTGTGCAGCGTGACACCTCCCCTGTGTCCTTTGTGGGGTCTTGAGCAGCCTGGCTGGGGAACAGCATTGGTGTGTGCCTGTGAACTGTCCCAACAACCACCTGTCCTGCCCCATAGGCGCACAAGTATCCCCGTTAGAAAGCCCAGATGAGGAGCCAGATTATGTGAACGGGGATGTGGCCGCTGCTGAGCACGTCTAGGAGAGACTCAATCAGAAGGAAGGTACAGCACTCTCGCTGCTCAGAAAGTAAGGGGCCCAAGTCAAGAAAGGGCCCTGTGCAGGGGGGGAGCCTCATGGAGTGATGGAGACCCCCTTGGGTGCTCATTCGCTATTAGAACCAGAAGGGAGATGCTTGCTGAAGTCCACCTGTGGGACTAGGGGACCCAGAATAGAGGTTCACCCACGTGACAGGTGAAGCACACACGTGGTCAGGGGCACTGGGGGTGTCCAACAGAGATGTCTATGGTAGAGCACTTGCCTTACAATCTACCAGTGGGGGATGGAGGCGTGGCTCAGCAGTAGAGCAATTGTCTGGCATGCGTGAAGTCCTGAGTTCCATCTTAGTATCGAAAAAAGAACAAAAATGAAAGATATAAAATGAAGAAGCCATGCCGGGCGGTGGTGGCACACGTCTTTAATCCCAGCACTCGGGAGGCAAAGGCAGGTGGATCTCTGTGAGTTCGAGGCCAGCCTGGTCTATAGAGTGAGATCCAGGATAGACACCAAAGCTACACAGAGAAACCCTGTCTCGGAAAAAAAAAAAAAACGAAGCCAGGCATGATGACACATGACTCCCTCCTGAGTGAATCTCATCACTGAAGAAGTGGAGACAAGAGGATCAGGAGTTCAAAACCAGCCTGGGCTACATAATGACCTTGAAGCCAGAGATAGAAAGGGAACTTGAGAGATGGCTCAGTGTAAGCGCAGGGTGTGAGTTCAGATCCCCAGCACACCCCTGTCACATGGTGCTGGGGAGGTGGATCTCAGGGCTCACTGACCAGCCAGCTTAGCAGAAAGAGTGAGCTCTAGGGGACAATGGTACAGGAAGACACACATACACACACACACACACACACACACACACACACACACACACACACGCAGAGGAATGGAAAGAAGGAAGGAAGGAAAGATGGGGAAAGAAAACAAAGAAATCAGATAAGCAATAAAACATAAGAAAATTCAATATACCAGACATGGTGGTGCACACCTTTAATCCCAGTACTCAGGAGTCAGAGGCAGGTAGATTTCTGAGTTCTGGTCTAGAGTGAGACCCTGTCTCAAAATAAAAATAAAAATAATCCCCAAACCAAAAACGTAGTATGTTCCCTAGTGATAAGTCCTGGTGATAGACAGAAGAGGGTTGTGCCTTGTGATAGGGGTGACAGGGACTAAGGCGCTCTCTGCCTCCTCACTGGGAAGGGCATCCCGGAAGAGCAGATGGGAGGTGGGAGATGTCCGCCTCTAGCAGAGGTCATGGGAGAGGTTGGAGGTCAGCTGGCCAGAGCCAGCAGTGGAGCTCTTGGCTGACGTGGAGGGACAGTGAATCCAGGTCTTGCTCCCTTCTTCCTCCGGCCTTCCCCTGAGGAATGCTGGGATTGCAGAGGGACAGTGAATCTGGGTCTTGCTCCCTTCTTCCTCCAGCCTTCCCCTGTGGAATGCTGGGATTGCAGGTGCGTGCCACCACACCTGGCAAGCTTTCCTTTATGTTTTGTTTTGTTGAGATAGACTCTCACTGTGTAGCCTTGGCTGGCCTGGGACTTGCTACGTAGACCAGGCTGGTCCTGAACTCAGAGATTCTCCTGCCTCTACCTCCTGAGTGCTGGGATTAAAGGCATACACTACAATGCCTGTCTGTAGGTGGGTTCTGGAAACTGGATTCAGGTCCTCACGCTTGTGTACCGAGTATTTTACTGACTGAGACATCTCTCCAGCCCCTAACCTTTGCCTCCTAACTCTCTTCTCTGTTGAAGGGCCTGACGGGGTTATGAGCAGAAGCATTCACTGCCTGCTGAAGTCTATTTTCTGGGGATGCTCAAGCTTCAGACCTGGCTGTGGCTGCTCCTGGGAGGGGTTCCAAACATCCTGGGAGACATTGGGACTCGCCAAGGCTGCAACCCCCGAGCAATGCCCTGGACTTCTTTGGGAGCAAAGCAGGTGTCTGGAAACATTGGCTGTGCTGACCGGAAGCCCAGGACCTGAGGCTAGCTGTGTCTCCAGTACCACATCTAAAATATGTCACAACACTGGCATTTGTCTTTTTTTTTCTTAATTTTGCAATAGGGTCTCATTAAATTGCTCAGGCTGGTCTCAAACTTGCAATCCTCCAGCCTCAGCCCTAGTGCTGGGATCACAGGGTGTATCACTACGCCTGACCTTGTATCTTTTTTCATCGTTTGGACTTCAAATTGCTTATGAATGTTGATTTCTGGGAACGTTCCGGGACTGTTTCTGTAGTTAACGTCAGTTGCTAGAGCCGTATTTAATATTGCCAATGTCAGGGGGACTTCCTGTCTCCCAGGGAGCATTACATGTCCTAACTTTAACAGATGTAGGGATGTAGGGTAACCTGGAGTCTCCTTGTTCTCTTTGTGGGTTCCCATTTGCTCCATCTTCCATTCCTGCAGGGACCTTGTGGGTCAGTGAGAGGGAAACAAAACTGGCCCCTCACCAATCAATCAATAAACCCTGAGTTTAAGAGCAGGCACTGCCTTGTCTACTTTTGCCTAAACACCTTTGTGCGTCCACAGGGCCGGGTGTCTCCCTCGGTTGCTCTCCTCTTTTTTTTTTTTTTTGGTTTTTCGAGACAGGGTTTCTCTGTGTAGCTTTGCGCCTTTCCTGGAACTCACTTGGTAGCCCAGGCTGGCCTCGAACTCACAGAGATCCGCCTGGCTCTGCCTCCCGAGTACTGGGATTAAAGGCGTGCGCCACCACCGCCCGGCTTCTCCTCTTCTTTTTAAGATAGTCATCGTGTAGCCCTGGCTGGCCTGGAACTCGCTGTATAAATCAGGCTGGACTTAAAGACATCTGTCTGCTTCTGCCTCCTGGGTACTGGGACTAAAGGCACCACCACACCCGGCCTCCAGTTTAAAAATATTGTGTGTGGGCTGGGCAGTGGTGGCGCACGCCTTTAATCCCAGCACTCGGAGGCAGAGGCAGGTGGGTCTGTGATTCAAAGCCAGCCTGGGCTACAGAGCAAGTTCCAGGACAGGGCTCCAAAGCTACACAGAGAAACCCCGTCGCAAAAAACAAAAATATTGTGTGTGTTTGAGTACATTCCAGGTCTGAAGGCATCAGAACACTTGAAACTCAATTACAGACCTTTGCCAGCTGCCCCACGTGAATGCGGGGAACCCAGCTAGGGTCCTCTGGTACCTAGTTCATGCTCACCTGCTGAGCCAGCTCATCTCTCCTTTGTTTTCGGAACAAGTGTCCATCACTGAACTTGTAGCTTGCTGATTGTGTAGACTCGCTGGCCATGGAGCCCCAGGTATCCTGTCTCCAGCCTGCCAGCACTAGGATCCTAGGCGCCCGCCACTGCACATGGCTTGTACGTGGGTTCTGTGGATTCCAGCCCAGGTCCTCATGCTAACAGCAGGCCACCTCCCCTTTTATTAGTGTGTGTGGGCATGGTCGGAGAACAGCTGTGCAGCCGACTCTCCTTCCACCCTCAGGAGGGCCCCAAGGACAAAACGCGGGTGACGGGCTGGTGTGACAAGTGCCTTTACCAGGGAGCCATCTTGTCAGCCATGTGAGTCTCACTCTGGAACCCAGGCTGGCTGGCATTGAACTCATGGCAATCCTTTGCCTCGGCATCCCAGGTGTGGGGATTATAGGCCTGTGCCACCATGCCTGGCTCTGGTAAAGACCTTAGCTGGAAATGAAGATCAAGGCTCCCCGGTTTTTCCCTCCTTTTTTAAGACCAGGCTGGTCTCAAACTCAGAGATCCCCCCATCCCTCCAAATGCTAGGATTAAAGGTGTGTGCCACCACCGCCTAGCTTAAGATCAAAGTTCTTACTTAGTAGAAAGGATCCGTGAGGCCCAGAGAGGAATGGGCTGTGTACTTGATGCCCAGCCCCTTCCCCCGGACATCACAAATTCGTTCTGAGAAGAAATGAATACGAGTTAGAAAAGAAATGACACGTTAGTATATTAGAAGGAACACCCAGAACCCAATTGTTAGACACTGACACAAGAGGGTCTCATTTCCCAGGCTCACTGTAACAGGACCTAGCTTCGAACTTAGCCTGAGTGCTTGGCATTAGGTCTGTGGGACTGGAGAGATGGCTAGGCAGTTCTGGCTGTTCTTGCAGAGGTCCTAGGTTCAAAACTATCTGCGAATCCAGCTCTAAGAGATCCAATGCCCTCTCCTGGTCTCCTCAGGCACTGCATTCAGAGTGTACAGGCAAAACACTTATACACATAAAATAACAAATCAACCCTTTAAAATAAAATAAAAACCACTCATACGCCGGGCGGTGGTGGCGCACGCCTTTAATCCCAGCACTCGGGAGGCAGAGCCAGGCGGATCTCTGTGAGTTCGAGGCCAGCCTGGACTACCAAGTGAGTTCCAGGAAAGGCGCAAAGCTACACAGAGAAACCCTGTCTCGGAAAACCAAAAAAAAATAAATAAATAAAAACCACTCATACACATTAAATAAGTCATTTAAAAAATTATGTACTTGGCTTCAATTCTTAAATTGTATTTATTTTCATAATTTTACTTATTATTGTGTGCATGTATGCAGGGACCAGAAGACATCCCGCCCCCCTTGTTTTTTTGAGACAAGTCTCTCTATGTAGTTGCTCTGTAGTTCTGGCTGTCCCAGAACTCTGTAGACCAAGCTGGCCTTGACTTCAGAAATCCTCCTGCTGCCTCTGCCTCCCAAGTGCTGGGAGTAGAGAGGTGTGCCACCACGGCTAGCTGCCCGGAGAACCCCTTTGTGGAGTCAGTTCTTCTTCCACCTTCTCGTGGGTTCTGGAGATGGCACTCCAGTGGTGAGGTGCGGGGTCAGACCTTCATCTGCTGCACTCACTGGCCACAGGTCCAACAGGCAGAAGCAAGACGATACTTTAAGCATTGCAAGACCAACACCCTAAGGCTTTATCAGCTACAACCCCAAGTCTGAGGAGGTCAGGGGCCTTCCCACCGTGCCCCATATCCAGGCTCTGAAGCTGAATTCAGATACGAAGAGCAGAAGGGCAGCATGGAACCCTCCGGAGCTCAGCCAGGGGCTGACTGCTGGCCTGACAGGCACAAGCCCTGGGTCCCACCCCAAGCACTGCACAAACCAGGCGTGGTGGCACACCTGTAACCCCAGCACTCAGGAGGCAGAGCAGGATCAGCAGTTCAAGGTCAGGCACAGCTGCAGAGGAGTTCGAAGTCAGTCCCGTTCTCCCAGAACAAAAACCAAAGTGAGAATGTTCTAACAATGTCTGGCACATCTCCCCACGACTGGAAAGCTGGGCCATCAGTGTCTCGGTGACAAGGACCCTCCTAGTTTCATCACTGGAGGCCATCTCAACTGGCCACCGGAGCCATGGTCTTCTGACACAGCCTGGCCAGGAGCCCAGCCATCTGCAGCAAGGAGTTCACACCTTCTGCCACTTTCATGTGAGTGTATCCAATCTCCTGAAACACAAGCCGGAAGGAACGGTGGGTAAGCCGGGACTGTTGGCTCCTTTCCGTCTAAACTGGTGCAATCCACATACAATGACCTCAAACGCAGGACAGGAGAGGCTGGACCTGGCTTCACTCCGGTCCAGCTCACACTGGAAGGGTGTTCCGGCTTAGGGAGACCCGGAGCTTCCAGCACAAGCGACAGCCCCAGCCTGCTAGGGTCTCACAGAACCAGGCTGGTTTGCAACCCACTATGTAGCCGAGGATAGCCCTGAGCTTCTGAGTCTCCTGCCTCTACCTCCAGGGTGTGGAACTATAGGCAAACAAAGGTCACTCAGTTCCTTTTGCTGCCGCTGTTTTAAACCAAAGTCTCACTGTGGAGCACTGAAGGTATGCACCACCATACCTAGCAGTACCCCATCTTATGCAGGGCTGAGGATCAACCCAGGGCTTTGCACACTCGAGGTATGTACTCTACCAACTGAGCCATCCCCGTCAAATTTTTTGTTGTTTTTGGTTTTCATGGCAGGGTTTCTGTGTTGCTGTGGCTGTCCTGGAACTCACTCTGTAGACCAGGCTGACCTTGAACTCACAGAGATCCACCTGCCTCTGCCTCCTGAGTGCTGGGATTGAAGGTGTGCACCATCACTGCCCAGCCCCAGTCAAATTCTTATAAAGTTAAATGTACACCTGTCTGAGTTGGTGGTCTCCCACCTGGGAGCCCACCCAAGTAGAACAGGAATGTGGCAGCCATGCTGTTTCATGGGTGCCAGTGTGCAGTGACTTTTAGCCACAGAAACCCAAACGCCCTTCCTAGAGAACAAGTGACCGTGACACAGCCACACAGCAGAATGCTGCTCAGTGATGAGGGCCAGAGTGGACACGTCACAACAGATCTGGCAGGCACTACGCACAAGTGTAAGGTAGCGTGGTGGCACACGCCTGTAATCCCAGCTTGGGCAACGCTGCAAGGCCTTGTCTAAAAGCAAAGCAAGACGCCAGCAGACTGGACTCCAAGGAAGGCAGAAGTGCACAAGGTATTCCCGAGCTCTGACGAACCTTGATGAACTCCAGTTTCAAGTATTCGGCCATGGGGAAGGTTTTACACACTCGGAAAATGTTGCCGATGACATCTTCTGGTGAGTAGCCCAGGTGCCACAGGTGAGCAAGAATCTAGACGAAAGACCCAACAGGCCATGAACACCGTCAACAGGAAAGGCAGATGGAGGCGGACCCACCGTGCTCCTAGATATCACCATGGCAACAGCTTGGCCCTGGTGATCCAGGAGGCTGTGAGGACCACCTGAACCTTACGGAGGTGCTGGTGGGCCCCACAGATGCCCTGTGTCACCCAGTCCTCTGGTCATGGCAGGTAAAATTTCCCAGGAGGCACATGTTCTTGACCTTAGGAAGATGGTCTGATATCTTGCCCACATCACATCTCTATCCAGAGCCTTCCAGGTGGAATCGCTCACCAGCTAGCTCCCCCAGGCTCAGTAAGAAAGAGGCCCCTGCGTGATGGGACCCGACAACCTACGCAGGGCAGGATTTCACTAGTGCCACGCCTTCCCCTCCTGTCCACTTTCCCCAGTCTGGGGCTGTGTCTAGAGAAAGACCACTTAGCCCGAGCACCCTGGGGTGGATTCTGGCAGTGTTAGGTAGAGTCAGGGGTTAGGTTAGCTTTGTCCCCTCAGTAACCACCTCTGGCCGTACCCGTTTCCCTGCCCGGCACTCCAGTACTGTTCTTGTTCAGTTCAACCTGCCCTGCCCCTAGTCAGCGTCCAGGCTGGCTGACTGTAGTAAGAAACTCGGGATCAGGGAAAGGGTCTGTGACCACACCTGACATCTACAGACCTGAAACCACCACACACACTGACATCTGCTTAGGAACCAGGCCCTGCAGCCAGCCACACTAGACCCTCCCCATCCCCCTCTTCTGAATAACGGGGACTGCTGGGTTTCTGGTTGGCTCTCAACATTCTCGGGAAGACAGAGTGGGATGTGATGTGTTCCCCTACCTGACAATGTGACGTCACTGGAGAGGCTGGGAGTTCTTTCGTGCCTCAGGCTGAGAACCCTCTTGTGGAGGATGTAACTACAGTATGTCATGAAGCTGCCTTTCAGGTCTACCACTTGTAGTGTGGCTTAAGGGAAGAATCAGCCTCTGAGTCAGTTCCATGGTTTGTTTGGGTGTGAAACGGCCCCTCCTGGTCCCTAGCTGGTGGTGCTGTTCTTGCAGGCTGTGGTATCTGAGGTGGAGCCTCTACAGCATGGCAGCAGGTCTGTGCTTCCCTATCCATCAAGATGGGAGGCATCTCATGGGGCTGGAGAGATGGCTCAGTGGTTAAGAGCACAGGCTGCTCTTCTAGGGGACCTGGGTTTGATTCCCAGCATTCACATGGCAATTCACAATTGTAACTCTAATCTTGGGGACCTGATGCCCTCTTCTGGACCCCAAGGGCACCAGATACACATTTAGGTAAAACATCCATGCATAAAATAAATGAAAAAATAAATAAATAAAAGATACAAAGTGTCTCAGCCCTGTGCTCCAACCACCAGGAGCTGTCCTGCCTTCCTGCCATGCTGGCTGCACCCTTCCAGTAAGTCCCAGTGATGCCCTCCTCTGCTGGCTGCACCCCTCCCTCCTCTGCTGGCTGCACCCCTCCCTCCTCTGCTGGCTGCACCCCTCCTCTGCTGGCTGCACCCCTCCCTCCTCTGCTGGCTGCACCCCTCCTCTGCTGGCTGCACCCCTCCCTCCTCTGCTGGCTGCACCCCTCCCTCCTCTGCTGGCTGCACCCCTCCCTCTTCTGCTGGCTGCACCCCTCCTCTGCTGGCTGCACCCCTCCCTCCTCTGCTGGCTGCACCCCTCCCTCCTCTGCTGGCTGCACCCCTCCTCTGCTGGCTGCACCCCTCCCTCCTCTGCTGGCTGCACCCCTCCCTCCTCTGCTGGCTGCACCCCTCCTCTGCTGGCTGCACCCCTCCCTCCTCTGCTGGCTGCACCCCTCCTCTGCTGGCTGCACCCCTCCTCTCCTCTAAGTCCCGGTGAGGCTGCCTCTGCTGGGTTGCTTTTGTCAGGTTCTGAGTGACGAGCTGAGAGGGATTTTAAGGCAGTGACGAGGAATCCTGGTGCCACCCAGGGCTCCTGCCACTTGGCTCAAAAGTCCCAAGGCACCATGGGACTAAGGGAGGGAACAAGAGCCCACCTTGTAGGCCTCGTCGATGTTGGCATCCACGCAGTGCTGGATCATCTCCTTCACCAGCAGGGGGTGTGGCTCATCACAGACCTGAGCAAACAGTCAGGAAACGCATCATGAGGCCCACAGACTCCAACAACTACAATGGGATTTGGGAACGCCCTTCTCACTTCCAAAGACACCCCCAAATATGACAGACTCCTAATGCCCTGGTTACATTTCTCATCTCCAAAATGAATGGACCACAAAGCAGGCAAAGGCCCAAAAAGACTCTTCTTGGGTGGCATTACAGGCACAGTGCTGGGCACAGCAGCACATGTCGGTAACCTCAAGACTCAGGAAGAGCCGGGCGGTGGTGGTGCAAACTCTGTCTGAGAAAAAAAAAAAAAAAAAAAAAAAACTAAAACAAATAAAAATCTAAAAAAACGCAGGGCGGTGGTGGCACACACCTTTAATCCCAGCACTCGGGAGACAGAGCCAGGTGGATCTCTGTGAACTTGAGGCCAGCCTGGTCTCCAAAGCGAGTTTCAGCAAAGATGCAAAGCCACACAGAGAAACCCTGTCCCGAAAAAAAACAAAAAACAAACAAACCAAAAAACCTAAAAAAACTGGAGGATCTCAGATTCAAGGCCAGCCTGGGCTACAGGCTATGTCAAGAGAAGAAAAGAAAAGAAGTTGGAGTGGCGGCCTAGGGCGGACCAGTGACTTTAGCAGCCACCAGAGCGGCCCACAGCACAGGTGAGGGAAGAACAGCCCTGCAGAGAGGTGGGGTGGAATCAAGCAAGACAGCTGCAGGCTAACCTGGATCTGCCTGTCTCCCACCACCCACATGTGGAACCACCCCCAGACCCTCCTGCTGGGCTCCTGGGCACGAGAGACAAAGCTATGATGGGGAGAACAGTGGCTGTGTAGGTCCACTCTGGTGCAGACCAGCCCTCCCAAACCTCTTCCAGCCCTGGTACCTTGAATACGTTCTCACTGTTGATATAGCCGAATCCTGAGAAGGTAGACTGCAAGTTGTTCAGTGCCTGGAGGGAGGCAAGAGACATATTAAAGGTGACTATGATGTCTTTCCCTATCCTGCCTCAGAGACTCGATGCCCACTCTCCCCAGCTCACACCCATGCAGGGTGCTAGGTCCTCAGTCTTTACCCAGACTTGGTACAACACTCATTCCCCAACCTCGACTTGTAGGGGCAGTGTGCTGGCTGGTCTTATGTCGACTTGACATACAAACTAGAGTTATCTGAAAAGAGGGAACTTCAATTGAGATCCTCCATAAGATCTAGCTGTAAGGCATTTTCTTAATTAGTATTTGATGTGAGAGGGCCCAATCCATGCTGGGTGGGGCCATCCCTGGACTAGTGGTCCTGGGTACTATAAGAAAGCAGGCTGAGCAAGTCAAGGGGAGCAAGTCAGTAAGCAGCACCCCTCTACAGCCTCTGCATCAGCTCCTGCCTCCAGGTTCCTGCCCTGTTTGAGTTCCTGTCCTGACTTCCTTCAGTGATGAACAGCAATATGGAAGTGTCAGCCAAATAAACCCTTTCCTCCCCAACTTCTTTTTTGGTCATGGTGTTTCATCACAGCAACAGAAACCCTGACTAACACAGGCAGCAACAGTCACCCACCAACCTGGCGCATGTCCCCTTGGGCTGTGAAGATAATGGCTTCCAGGCCATCATCTGTGTATGGCACTTTTTCCTTCTCGATGACATTCATGAGCCTGGTGAGGACTTGAGCATCAGTGAGCTTGGTGTAGCGGAGCACTGCACACCGGGACTGGATGGGCTCTGGACAGAGACAGCACAGTGAGAGCTCCCTGGCAAGGCTGGCTGCTCATCAGGACACAGCTGATCACAGCCAAGTATCAAATTATTGAGATAAGAAGCAAAGAGGCTGGATTTTTGGCTTTCTGAGTCCCACCCCCCTGCTCTGCAGAGGGTCTTTTTCTCTGTGCATGGGTTGCATGCAAGTGTGTGTTTCCTTATCCCCAAAAGTGCCTGCCTTTAACTGCAAGGAAAAAAAAGCAGAGAGGCCTGAGTTAGCAACATCCAGCACACGCAGGTCAGGGCCTGCTTCTGGAGGGACAGGAGGCCTCGGGACAGACGCTGCCACACATACAAGCCCCACCCCAGACACAAAGAGTTAGGGCCTCTGAAGTCACAGTGCGATGGCTGGGCCCTTCAGGAAAGATCAGTTCCGTCAGGCTGGGAGGGAATGGAACCCCAACAAGCTCTTTGACGTTTCACAGGGGAACAAGGCAAGAAGGTGTCGGCCTGTAACCCCAACACTTGGGATTAAATAGGGAGGTAGGACAGGAGGATCACGGATTTAAGGTCAACCTCAGTTACAAGGTCAGTTCCAGGCTAGCCTGTGCTACCTGAGACTCAAAAACACAACAAACACCATCAACACCACCAATAAAAAAGAACACGGGGGTTAGCAAGAAGGCTCAGTGGATAAAGATGCTTACTACCAAGACTGACAACCTGAGCTCAACTTCTACAAATTATTCTGACATCTACAGGAAGGCACATGACCCCCAACATGCACATGCATGCATGTGCATACACACACATGTAATTTTAAAATAAATGGGTTGGGGGCAAAAGTCCTGTCAACATTAAGCAATTCTCCCATCTAGGCAGCCATGAGCTGGTAGGGAAAGGCACGTGGTAACAAACCTGTATGTGACCACACACACACACACACATACACACACATACACACACACACACACACACACACACACACACACACACACACACACACACACGACACACGGGACACACGGGACACACGGGTACAGAAGGAGGATAGGACAGAAAGCCCCCATTGCTGGGGATCAGCAGAACAGAAAGGAGACAGACAACACACACAGGATGGTCCAGGTGACTCATGCAGTCGGTGGCAGGAGGATGTGACACCAGCCGCACAGGGCAGCAGCTGGGCTAAAGGCCAAAGGGCCCCGAAAGGAGACACTGTGGTGAGGTGGAGGCCTGGTCACACCAGGCAGCCACAGTCTGATGCACAGAGCTGATGTCAAGGGCCGCAGCACACAAAACAACCAGAGTGTGTTCCAGATGGGCTGGGTGGCTCAGGCCTGTCATCCCAACCACTCAGGATGCTGAGGCAGGAGGACTGTAGGTCTGATGCACTCCTGGGCTATAAAATGAGTTCAAGGCCAGCCTGGGTAAATTAGAGAAGACCAGGTCTCAAAATAACAAGGAAACAGCACTTGCCAAGTCTGACAACAATCCCAGCTCAATCCCTGGGATCCACGTGGTAGGAGAGAGCTGTCCTCTGACCTCCCCACACACTGTAGCAGGTCTGTATACAGAAACACTGACACACACAGACGGCTGGAGAAATGTCTCAGGGGTTAAAAGTACCTGCTGCTCTTCCAGAGAAGCCAAGTTTGGTTTCTAGCACTCACATCAGGTTTCTCACAACTGCCTGTGACCTCAACTCCAGGGCACATATACTCATACAGATACACAATCAAAAACAAACGAAAAAAGTAAATAATTAAAAAGGGAGCCCTGGGCTGGAGAGATGGCTCAGCAGTTAAGAGCACTGGCTGCTCTTCCAGAGGACCCAGGTTCAATTCCCAGTATCTACATGGTGGTTCACAGCCATCTATAGTGGGATCTGATGCCCGCTTCTGGCATATAGTCATATATGCAGATAGAGTACTCACATACATAAAAAAAAAAAAAAAAAAAGAATTAAAAAAAAGAAAAAGAAAAAAGAAAGCTTCCCTGGATACAGGCGTCCAGGTTGCATAATTACCTATGATTTTGTCTGAAGCATTACAAGCCAGAGCGAAGCGGGTTGTCTTGGAGTAGATTTCCATGGTTCTCCGGAGGGCCTGCTGGGCACCGTCCGTCATGCTGAGGCAAACATAAGAGGGCAGTGGGTACCAGGCCTGGGGCACAGCCCCACCACCCCTGCTGTTCCGGAGGACTGGAGATCTGAGGCCAGCCTGGGCTACTTGGGGACGCCCATCTCCAGCCCGAACCTGTCTGCTTCATCCAGAATGATGATCTTGTGCCGGCCCTTGGGAAGGGTGACTTTCTGCTGGGCGAACATTTTGATTTTATTCCTCACCACATCAATGCCCCTGAAACAAGAAGGAAGAAGGCACGTGTCACAAACAGAGGGACTTTTTATTATCATGGGGGAAAGGCTCTCCTGTGCACGTGTGCACGTGCATGAGCACATGGTCAGAAGACAACTTTAGAGACCCAGTTTCCGCCTTCACTTTGAGTTACACGGGCAGAACCAGTGCTCTCAGGCTTGCACAGTGGGGGTGTTTAGTCACTGAGCCATCTCAGTGACCCTGTTTTACTGTTTTATGTGTCTGCCCAGATGCAGGGCATGTGCAGGTGGGGGCCTCGAGAGACCACAAGGTGTCAGAAGCCGGGAGCTGGAATTCCAAGCAGCTGTGAGCTGCCTGATGCGGGTGCAAGGAAAGGAATTCTGGGTCTCTGCAAGAGTGGCACGCCCCCCCCCCCCCCTCTGTTTTTTGAGACAGGGTTTCTCTGCGTAGCCCTGGCTGTCCTGGAACTCACTCTGTAGACCAGGCTGGCCTCGAACTCCGAGATCTGCCTACCTCTGCCTCCCGAGTGCTGGGACTAAAGGCGTGTGCCACATGTTCTTACCTGCTGAGCAATCTCTCCAGCCCCATATTTTATTTTTTGAGAGAGGGTCTTTATATGGCACCTGGGCAGACCTGGAACCCAGAATCCACCTGCTTTAGCCTTCCCAGGGCTGGGATTTCCCACACACCACTCCAGCTCACAAGGGGCTCGGAAATCCTCCTGAGAGCCCCAAGGGCTACAGAACCTTATTTTCACCTGGGAACATGAGCTAATCGTCACATACACAGACCAGAAGGTGGCTGTGGCTGCCAGGGCCGCAGAAGGGAAATGGGGAGGCGCTCGAGGGCAGTTTCAGTTTTGCAAGGCCAGAAGGCTGTTGCATAGTTAACATGTTAACACGACTGAAGTGAACACTTAAAGCGGTTTCAGGGCTGGTGAGCCGGCACAGTGGGTGAAGACACCTGCTGGCCAACCACGGGAGACCGACAACCTGAGGTCAATCCCCAGAGCTCACATAAAGGTGGAAGAAAAGAACCAATTCTACGTGATTGTGCTCTGTTCTTCACACATGTGAAGAACGCGCACGTGCACGCACGCGCGCACGCACACACACACACAAACAGGGTTGAGGGGAGGGCTCTTGCCACCAACCCTCACAACCTGAGTTTGATCCTTAGGACCCACTTGGTGAAGGAGAGAACAGATTCCCAGCAAGCTGTCCTGACCTCCTCATGTACATCATGGCATAGGCCCCTCCCCACAATGAATAAGCAGCAATAAAAACGAATTTTAAAAGAGTCATTTGAACATTTTCATCAAAACAAGGAAGGCCGCAGGTGCTCCTCAGACGCTCGGACAAGGTAATGATTCCCGGTTAAACGTGGAGTCAGAGAAGCCAGCGCCAGCCACAAGCCAGCACCAAGCGGAGCTTGTCCACTCGGGTACAACAGGAGGCCGGCCTTCCCTCCCATCCTACCTGTCATTTGACGCATTGAGTTCCAGAACCGCATCCTTCAGGGCCGGGCCCAGCAGCGCTCTCGCCAAGCAGAGGATGCTGGTCGTTTTGCCGGTTCCTGGGGGACCCTGTAGGTAAGAGCTCCCCTAACTGATTCATGCAGGAAGGACCCAGGGGCTGGAGAGACGACTCAGCAGTTACAAGCACTGGCTGCTCGTCCAGAGGACCTGAGTTCCATTCCCAAAGCCCCGAACTGTCTGTAACTCCAGTTCCAAGATATACATCGCCCCTACCCTACCCTACCCCACTCCCTTCCCCCCTCCCTGGCACCAGACATGCACATGGGCAAAACACCCACAACATAAAAATCAACCAACCAATTAATTAATTAATAATTAAAGGGTTCCCATGTAGCTCTTGCTGCTCCCCCAACCCCCCACTGCTGGCACTTGCTCCCAATTCCCCCAACAACCCAACCAGGGACCTGTGAGCCTCCCCAGGGGAGGGAGTGGACATGGGATGCAAGATGCCTAGAGGACAGGCCCAAGTACTCACCGCAATGATGATATTGGGCACATTGCCTTCCTTTGCAAAGACCTGGGTGAAAGAGGTTCATGAAGTTAGTGTGGTGGTACACGCCTCTAATCCTAGCACCAGGGAGGCTGAGGGAGAAGGAGCAGGAACTCCGGCCAGCTTCAGCTACATATCAAAACCCTGTCTCGAAGACAAATCAACAGCCCAGGTGTGGCGGCACACTTGTTTAATCCCAGCACTTGGGAAGCAGAGGCAGGCAGAGCTCTGTGAGTCAGAAGCCAGCCTGGTCTACATAGAAAGTTTCAGGACAGCCAGGGCTCCATAGTGAGTAGCATGTTCCAAAAAAACAAACAACAATAACAAAACCCCCAAACCACCAACAACAAAACAGTTGTTGGGAAGCTGGCTCAGCAGACAAAGGCAGCTGCAAAGGCCAACAAGCTTAGGTTGTCACCCACCATCAGGCCCCACAGGTGGTGGGAGGGAACCAGCCCTGCCCTGAGGCAGGAAGACCCACTCTAAATGTGGGTGGCATCCTCCCGTGGGCTGGGGTCCTGGACTCAGGGGAAAGGAGAAAGCGGCCTAGTGAGCTGCAGCATCCACCTCCCCACTTCCAGACTGTGGGTGCCACATGACCAGCCGCCTCACATTCCTGCCTCCATGCCTTCCCACCAGGAAGGACTGTGACCTCAGACGGTGAGCTAAAGCCAAACTAACCCTTCTTGGCTTAAGTCCTGTTCATCGGGTACTTTGTCACCCCAGTGGGGAACAGTCGACGTAAACCCTCCTTCACCACCTCAGCCAATCGCCCAATCTCCAATGGCTACTAGCTTGTCAGATCCACAGTGTGATGTCAGGGGGTTACAGAGCTCCTTACCTCCAGCCTGCTCACTGTGTCTTCATTGCCAACTATTTCATGGAGCTTTAGAGGTCTGTATTTTTCAACCCTGTTTTAGAAAAAGCAAATAATGACATGGTTATCTTCTCGGTACCCCGAGGACAGGGCAGGAAAGGGCAACCTTGTGAATTCTGGCAGGGTGGGGCTGTGTTACCTGTGATGCCAACAGAGGGAGGCCGTGCCAAGAGGACCCCGAGTTCCAGGCCAACCTCTACCACATATACAAATTGCCTCAAAAAAAATGAAGAAATAAGAAGCCAGCAAGATGGCTGAGCATGTAAAAGCACTTACAGCAAAGCTAAGTCAGCCTTAGTTTAATCCCCAGAACCAAGATGGTGGAGGAAGAGAACTGAGTCCCACATGCACTGAGACTTGTATGTATGGCACATACACCCACAGCATAAATAATCATGGGCTGGAAAGGTGGCTCAGTGGTTAAGAGCACTGGCTGCTCTTCCAGAGGACCCAGATTCAATTCCCAACACCCACATGGCAGCTCACAACTGTCTGTAACTCCAGTTCCAGGGGACCTGACACCCTCGCACAAACATACAGGCAGGCAAAACACTAATGCACATTAAAAAAAAAATTAGCCGGGCGGTGGTGGCGCACACCTTTAATCCCAGCACTCGGGAGGCAGAGCCAGGCGGATCTCTGTGAGTTCGAGGCCAGCCTGGTCTACAAAGTGAGTTCCAGGAAAGGCGCAAAACTACAGAGAAACCCTGTCTCGAAAAACCAAAAAAAAAAAAAAAAAAAAAACCAAAAAAAAAAAAAAAATTAAAACAAAACATCCAGGAGCCAGGCAGCAGTGGCACACAGCACTCGGGAGGCAGAGCCAGGCGGATCTCTGTGAGTTTGAGGCCAGCCTGGGCTACAGAGTGAGATCCAGGACAGGTACCAAAGCTACACAGCGAAACTCTGTCTCGAAAAACCAAAAAAAAAACCCAAACAAACAAAAACCATCCAGTTATGGTGGCACACACCTGCAATCTCAGGTTATGTTGGAGGTGGAAACAGGAGGTTCAGAAGTTCAAGGTTATCCTTGACTACATAACAAGTTCTACACTAGCCTGGGCTAAATGAGGCACTTTCAATAAGTTAAAGAAGAATGTGCTGGAGAAATGACTCAGTGGTTAAGGGTACCTGCTGCTGCAGAAGCCCCTGACTTCTAGCATCCACACACTGGCTCACAACCTCCTTATAATTCCAAGGAACGCAATGCCCTCTCCTGGCTTCTTCATGAACTGCATGCACACAGTGCCCAGACATACAGACAACACTCACACACAGAAAACAAAATGAATCTTGAAAAAAAAAAGTGGTGGTGGCGCACGAATTCAATCCCAGCACTCAGATCTCTGTGAGTTCAAGGCCAGCCTGGTCTACGAAGCAAGTTCAGGACAACCAGGGCTACACAGAGAAACCCTGTCTCGAAAAACCAACAAACAAACAAAAACAAAACCCAAAAAGGAGCCAGCAAGATGGCTCAGTGGGTAAAGGTGCTTGCTGATGGGCCTAACCATCTGAGTTGGATCCCTCGGACCCACATGGTAGAAGAGACTCCTAGGAGTTGGTCTCTGACCTCCATCCACTGCCTGCCCTCTCAATAAAGAAATGGGGAAAAAAAAAAAGCTTTCAACAACAACAAAAACGATAAAAATGAACTTTTGGTACGAATGGGCTCCTCAACTGCCCACTCCACACAACAGAGGGAACCGCAGAGTAAGCAGGGGTTCCGTCTAGCCAGCTCTGATGCACACATTTGCAGAGGCTGGCAGGTGCGCAGTGATGGTCCCAGGTGCACCCATTTCGGTCCCACCAGATGATGTAAGTGCTGCATCTCCAGGGTCTCTGTTGAGACAGGCAGACTGTGCGGGCCCACAGAGTGCTACTGTTCCAGATGGCCTACTCTTGCCCCGCTCGCAGGAAACTAGTGGTCTCGGGCTATGACTGGGAAGCCTGTGTGGGCAGTTCTTAAGCAATCTTGAAATGGCACTTAGACACTTCATTAAAATACTGTTCCCTTGGGGCTGGAGATAGGTCAGTGATTAAGAGTGTCAGCTGCAGCTGGGCAGTGGTGGCGCGCACGCCTTTAATCCCAGCACTTGGGAGGTAGAGGCATGAGGATCTCTGTGAGTTCAAGGCCAGCCTGGTCTACATAGCAGTCCCAGGACAGGCTCCAAAGCTACACAGAGAAACCCTGTCTTGAAAACAACAACAACAACAACAAAGCGCCAGCTGCTCTTTCAGAGGACCCAGGTTCAATTCCTAGCACCCACATGGCAGCTCACAATCATCTATTACCAGGGATTCTATCCCTCTCCTCACCTCTGAGGGCACTGCATACACCCATAGACATAAATTAAAAAACAAAAACTACTTGTGCCCATTTGGAATCTATTTATTTATAGACAGGGTCTTCTCATAAAGCCCAGGCTATCCTGGAACTTACTATGTGGCAAAGGATGACCTTGAACTCCTGATCCTTCAGCCTCTACCTCCCCAGCTCTGGGATTACAGGGATCACCATGTCCAGTTTATGAGCTGCGGGGGGGAAGGAAATGTGGGTTTTCCGAATAGCAGGCAAGCGTCATATCAACCGGGCCACATCTCCAGATGGCCTGGAACTCAGGAGCACTAAGTTCTGTCTTTTAAATAAACAAGCAACGTCAAGAGAGACATGACCTTTTCCAGCTCTGGGTACAGATGTGGTAGATTTACAATGACGTGACCAGCAAAGCTTCCTTATTATATTCTGTGGATTTCTTTTCTTTCTATTTTCAGAGACAGGGTTTCACCAGGTAGTCCTTGCCAGACTAGAACACCCTATGTCGACCAGGCTGGCCTTGAACTCAGAGATCCATCATTTCTGCCTCCTGAGTGCTTTATGTTGTTTTAAGTATATATACATACATGTTTATTATGTGTGTGTGCCACAGCACAGGTTGGAGGTCAGAAAACAACTTTTGGGAGTCAGTTCTCTCCTTCCAACATGCAGAATCCAGACATTAAACTCAGGCTGTCTGGTTGGCTACAAGCACCCTTATCACTGAGCCATCTCTCCGGGACTTGCTTTTGGTGACAGGGACTCATATAGCCCAGGCTGGTCTCAAACTCACTATGCAGGTAACAAGGACCTAACAGGTATATGCTACCCATTTGGATTCTCGTTTTCTTTTTACTTATTTCTGTGGCTACCAGACAATGCTAAATTACATAGTGGTTCTCTCTCTCGCCCTCCCTCTCTCTTCAGTGCTGGGGATGGAACCCTGGGCCCTGAGCATGCCAGGCAAGAATTCTGCCACCGAGCCATATTCCCAGCTTTTGTAATATTTTTCCTAGTATTAGTGTAGATCAATGGTTCTCAACCTGTGGGTCACGACTCCTCGGGGACTGTCAAACAACCCTTTGACAGGGGTCACCTGAGACCACCGGAAAACACAGATATTTACGTTACGATTCATAACAGTAGCAAAATAAGTTATGAAGTAGCAATGAAAATAATTTTATGGTAAGGGGTTCATCACAACACGAGGAACTGTACTAAAGGGTCACAGCATTAGGAAGGTTGAGAACCACTGGTCTAGACGGTCTGATACTTCAGTTTGCTAAGGGCCGTCTCTGCTGTCTGGTGCCATAGGCCTTACATTTCATCAAGAAAAACAAGCTCATGAGAGCAGGTGCTTTAGTACAAATGTCTGGAATCAAGTTCCATAAAACAAACAACCAAACCACCACCACCAACAACAACAAAAACCAGGGCTGGTGGCACACACCGACGAAAAAGACGGTAGGATCAGAATTTAAGGTCATTCTTGGCTATATATAAAGTTCAAGGCTCAGCTTAAGGTAGTGAGGTGTGCCGTTAGTACTGCACAGCAGAGCGCCCTGTTCGTCAAGTTCAAGCATCACTTAGGTTGGGACTCTGAGACACACCCACCTCAATTTCCATAACCTCTGCCTGGTAGTTACCTGTCATTCCAGCACTTGGGAGGCTGAGGCAGGAGGATTACTGAAAGTTCAAGAACTGTGGGGCTGCACAGTGAAACCCAGGGCTGGGAATGGGACTCGGTCGGTAGAGTGCTTGCTTAAGCGTACACGAAGCCCCGTGTTCCATCCCCAGCACTGCTTTACGACAGACAGTAAGGCATGCCTGTCATCCCCTGGGGGGCAGGAGGCGCAGCGGTTCAAAGTCACCCTCTGCTACATAGTGGGTTCGAGACCAGCCGGGGTGACCCAAGACCCTGTCTCAAAAACATAAAGTGAAAAAAGAAACCCAGTCTCAAAAAGAGAAAGAAAAAGAAAATCTGGCTCCAGGGGTCGAACGGCACCTTCGGGGTCCCCCCAGACCCAGCCGGAAGCCGGGCCCCTGGAGCTCAGCCCGCCCTCACTCGCCATCACCTCTCCGCGCGCGTGACTACGGCCGCGCGCTCACCACGGCAGCTCGTAGTGGCCAGCGCCACCCGCGGTCTTGCTGGGGACAGCCGAGGGCTCCTGCGCCCCACTCTCGGCCGCGCCAGAGCCGCTCTCCTGCACCTCCATTCCGGCGCCTGCTCTTCCCGCCACCCGAAGCTCCGCCCCGTGACGTTTCCACGGAAGTCTCGGCCCTGGTTTCCGGGCGACCCTGGGAGGGGAGCGGAAGTGGGAGTGGGGGGGGGGGAGGACGGTCTCTTCCCGCGCCTGCGCAGAGAGTGCAGCGTAACCACACCACTGGCCGCTAGAGGCCGCTGTGGCTACAGGAGACCGCGTTCAAGGGGCCAGGAAAGGTGAGGATGTTGCTATCGAGGAGAGTGTCTCCAGGAAAGGACGTTTGTGTCATCTTGATTGTATTTTATTTAATTGTATTCTATTTCATTTCGTTCCGTTTTATTTCCACGTTTTTGGTTTCTAGAAACTGAGTATTATTGCTCTGCATCCCAGCCTGACCCACAAACGAGTGGCCATCCTCCTGCCTCAGCCTCCCGGGTGATAGGATTACTTTTTTAAGAATTACTTCATTCGTGTTTTGCTTGCATGCATGTATATGCACCACATGCATGCCTTCTTGGAGGAGTGTGTTGGACCCCCTGGAGCTGGAGTTAGACTCTTGCGGGCAGTCATGTAGGTGCTGGGAATTAAATCCAGGTCTCTGCAAAAGTCTAGTACTCTTTTGTTTGGTTTTGGTTTTGGTTTTGTGTTTTGATGCAGAGTGAGTTCCAGGACAGCCAGGGATACACAGAGAAACCCTGTCTTGAAAGCAAAAACAAAAACAACTGCCTATAACTAGTTCCTCTGGTTTCTGTGGGTAACTAGACCCTTATAAACACACACTCATACTGCCCCTCATGTGCGGGTGCCCATAGAGGCAAGAAGAGAGCAATTAGAGTTATAGCCAATTGTGAGCTGCCCAATATGGGTGTGGGGACCCGACCTCAGGTCCTCCGGAAGGGAAGCAACTGTTCTTCACCACTGAGCCATCTCTTCAGCCAAATAATGATAAATTTTCATTTTGGGGACAGGATCTCACCATGTAGCTCCAGCTGACCTGGAATTCACTATGAGACCAAGGTGGCCTTGAACTCACATTGATTCAGTCACCCTGCCTCCTGATGCTGGAGTGAGAAGCAACCAGACCCACCTCTCACAATATTTTTTTTTCTCGAGACAGGGTTTCTCTGTGTAGCTTTGCACCTTTCCTGGAACTCACTCTGTAGCCCAGGCTGGCCTCGAACTCACAGAGATCCGCCTGCCTCTGCCTCCCAAGTGCTGGGATTAAAGGCATGTACCACTACCTCATGGCCTCATTTTTTTTTTTTCAAATTAAAGAAATGAAGTGGAGAGAAACTGAGGAATACATCTTAACATTAACCTCTGGCTTCCACAATAGCCTGCATAGATGAGTGGACCTGTGTACACACATGTACCTAACACACAACTTACATCTTAAGTAAATAAATAAAAATTGAATAAATAGGTCTTTTCCGGGTCTGGAGAGAGGCTCAGTGGTTGAGAGCACTTGCTGCCCTTGCAGAGGACCCGAGTTTGGTTTCCAGCACCCCCATCGGGCGGCTCACAACCACTTGTAACTCCAGCTCCAGAGGATGCCAACACTTTTCTGGACTCTGAGGGTACCTGTACCCACCCACACATGGACACACATGAAAACATATAATGAAAAATAATAAAAATAAATATGTTTTTCAAGGATACTTTCTAGGCCCGGGCTTGGTGGCACAGGCCTTTAATTCCAGCACTTGGGACCAGAGGCACCTGGATGTTTGTGAGTTCAAGGCCAGCCAGAGCCCGACATAGTGAGACTCCTATCACAAAAATTCAAAAAGTAAAATAAAATTAAAGATACTTTCTGGCCAGGCATGGCAGTGCACATCTGTCATCCTAACACTAGCGACGCATTTACAGGAGGATAATGGGTTCTAAACCAGCCTGAAACTACATAAAGGGAGCCTCTGCCTGAACAGAATAACAATAAAAAAAGCTGACAGGAGACACATACCTCAGCACTTGGGAGATGGAGGCCAGCCTGAGCTACACAAGAGTCCGTCCCAGAGAAATAACAGGGTTTGTGTTAGAAGCCTCGGGTGTGGGGGGCCGATGTTTCCCCCAAGGTGGCATTTTCAAGCATTGAAGCTGGTGATTTCCAAGTGGGCTTGCCCTACCCTTAGCAAGCTCAGCAGAGCCCTCCGAGCACTCGTTTACATATGAACTCGCCTGCTTGTCTAGACACATTCCACCAAGCGCCTCTGCTAAGCACGAAGGTTTTCCTTTGAACTCTTTAGTTGAACATTGACAGTTTTGAACTGCCTGCCTGGCTTTTCGTTTTTGTTGTTGTTGAGACAAAGTCTCTCTAGGGAACCCTGACTGACCTGGACTCACTATGGAGACCAGGCTGGACTTGAACTCACAGAGATTTCTCCCTGCTCCCGCCTTTGGAGTGCTGAGATTAAAGGCTTTTTCACCACTCTTGGCCATACTTTGTCTTCTTTAATAATAAGAAAGCAAGGAGAGAACTTTCCCAGATGGGCACAGAGGACAGATTTTATGTCCCAGGAGGGGCTGGGGTGTGGCTCAATGGTAGAGCCCCTGCCTAGAATCCCCCAGTGAGGGGCTGGGAGTGTGGATCAGTGGTAGACCACCTGCCTAGAATCCCCCAGTGAGGGGCTGGGGTGTGCCTCAGTGGTAGAGCCCCTGCCTAGACTTTCCCAGTGAGGGGCTGGGGTGTGCCTCAGTGGTAGAGCATCTGTCTAGAATCCCCCAGTGAGGAGCTGGGGTGTGGCTCAGTGGTAGAGCACCTGCCTAGAATCCCCCAGTGAGGGGCTGGGGATGTGGCTCAGTGGTAGAGCACCTGCCTACAATCCCCCAGTGAGGGGCTGGGGTGTGGCTCAGTGGTAGAGCACCTGCCTAGAATCCCCCAGTGAGGGGCTGAGGTGTGGCTCAGGAGGAGACCATTTGCCCAGAATCCCAGACTGACCTCAAAGTCACTATGCCATATAGGATGGCCTTGAACTTTTGATCATCTTGCCTCTTGCTCATGTGTGCTGGGATGACAAGTGTGTAGCACCACACACACATCCCTTTTAAGATGTATTTTTATGTCTATGTCTGCATATGGTCTGACTGGGGTTGTCCACCTGTAGGGCAGGGATGTGCCCTTGGATGCCAGAAGAGGAAATCCTATCCTCTGGAGCTGGAGTTGCAGACAGTTAGGAACTGAGACCTGAACTCGGGTCCCCTACAAAAGCTGCAAGTTGCCGGGCGGTGGTGGTGCACACCTTGTATCCCAGCACTCGGGAGGCAGAGGCAGGCGGATCTCTGTGAGTTCGAGGCCAGCCTGGGCTACTAAGTGAGTTCCAGGAGAGGCGCAAAGCTACACAGAGAAACCCTGTCTCGAAAAACCAAAAAAAAAAAAAAAAAAAAAAAAAAAAAAAGACTTATTTTATTATTATTTTAATGTGTGTGTGTGTGTGTGTGTGTGTGTGGATGCGTGTGCGCGCGCGCACACGCGAGCATGTGAGTGCAGTTGGCAGTGGAGGCCCAAGGCATTGGATCCCGTGCAGCTGGAATTGCATATGGTTGTGGACTGACGTTATGTGCTGGCAAGAGAACTCAAGACCTCTGCAAGAACAGCACATGCTCTTACCTGTGAGCCATCTCTCCAGCCTCCCAGCCCTTTTTAAAGTCATGCTGGGCACCAAACCCAGGCCTTCATGCATCCTTGGCTAACACTGTAATCCATGAGCCACATCCCCAACACCTAGGCCGATATTTCTTGTGTCTATTCTCTCTAATCCCAGGAATCTCTCTGTGTGTGGGCTTCATTATCTGAAGAATTCACAGTGAGCCCTTTGGCAGAGGAGTCCTGGCCTGCCGAGGCACGTGCGCACACAGGGACGCACAAGCTCACCACATTCTGTGCTGCCCTGAGGCTGTGCATTCCAAGAGGGCCGTGTCTTACAGGAAGCAATATTTTCCTCATACCTTGCTTGTTAGGTGCAGGGTGTAAACGTGTAAACCTTAGCTACTCTTCCAGATCCCAAACAGACTTCAATTTTGGTGCCTTTTTGTTTTTTGGGTTTTTTTTTTTTTTTTTTTTAAGTAGGTCATACTATGTAACCCAGGTTGGCTTCAAAATTGTGATCCTCCTGCCTCCATCCCCTGAGTGGTAGTATGACAGAATCGCTGGAGTCCAACTGATTACGTTTTAGTCGATCATCTTGGGTGCTTGATGGAGCAAGCAGGCTGAGGGTGGAGCTCAAAGGGGAAGAAATCACTAATACAAAGGCCTTACAGCCAAGGGCTCGGTGGCCCACACTGAAGTCTCCGCTACTCAAGGGGCTAAGACAGCGGGATGGCAAGTTCAAAGGCAGCCTGGTCACCTTAGCCGGATCCATCTCAAAACGAAAAGGCGAGAGCTGGTGTGACGGATCGGTGGGTGGCACTCGCCACCAAGCCTGAAGACTGGAGTTTGATCCCAGGGACCTACATGGTGGAAGGGAGAAGCGACCCCGCTACCACGCTTTGGTGTGTGCACACACACATCTAAATAAATGTAAATAAGTAAATGGTGGACAGGTCTGAGGATTTAGCTCCGCGGTAGAGCACTTGCCTGACGTCCCCCAGAGAGGAGCGAGGGGCGAGGCTCAGCAGCTGAGTGTTTTGCCTAAACGAAGCCTCAAGTTGGATCCTCAAACAACAAACCACAAGCATACTCACTCATGCTGGGTTTAGAGCTAAACAAGCCTGGCAGTTACCCAAGATCTGTTGCCTGTCTCCTTCCAAAGGTTATTGGAAACTTGAAGAGGTCTGTTCAGGACTTGGTTTTCAATTCTATCTTTTTCTCTGTGTGTCTTACCAGGGGTTGGGCCAGGCCTTGTCCTAGGCCAGCGCTCCACCACCAAGTATTGCCCAACTTTCTTTGCTCATCTTTTTGTTTTTATTTTATATGTGTATTTTGCCCACACGTATGTCTGTGCACCACACGCATGCAGTGCTCTGGGAAACCAGAAGAGGGCGGTGGATCCCCTGGAACTGAAATTACAGGTGGTGGTGAGCCACCATGTGGGTGCTGGGATTTGAACCTGG